GTGCAGAGAAAGCCTTACCCACAATTTCACAATAGAAACTTTAATCAATATAATAAAAATCAATTGTATATTCCTCAATCAAATAATAACAAACTCTATAATCAGAATAACAATTTTAAATATCCACAACAAAATAATAATAAATACTATAATCAAAATAATAACTTTGGACACCTTCAACAATATGGAAATATGGAATACCTGAACCAATGGAAGTTAATTTTCAGGAAGAAGCCTCGGATCAGAAATACCATATATCAGAATAAATAATTTTTAATAGATACTGGTTCATCAGTAAGTTTGGTAAACCCAAATACATTTAAAACGAAATCAATAACAGTAAAACCTAAAAAATTAGAACCATTAACGGAAAAATAAATATGGATCAGATAATAATTACTAATGAATTAAGGGACACAGGACAAAATTTATCATTTTTCCTAGTCTCCTTTTCAAAAGATTGCAATGGTTCATAGGATCAGATATATTAAAATATGCAAATGCAAAAGTTGGAGAATAATAAAAAAAAGAAAATGAGATAACTGAAGAAGAAATTAATTATATAAACAATCTAAAAACGAATAATATCAATTTATCTGAAGACAAAATGAAATTTCGCTTAGATCACTTAAATAATAAAGAATATAACAGTATTTCAAATTTATTAAATAAATATAAAAACATTCAATATGAAGAAGGAAACAGTCTTACGTTTACAAATCAAATAAAACATAAAATTAAGACAAAACACGAGGACACTATTTATTCTAGGTCTTATAGATATCCAAAAGCTCACAATGAGGAAATTGAATCCCAAATAAATGACATACTCAATCAAAAAATAATAAGACCCAGCTCTTCATCCTACAATTCACCCATTTGGATTGTACCAAAAAAATTAGATAGTTCAAACAAACAAGGTTGGAGGATAGTAATAGACTACCGAAAACTAAATGAAACAGAGCTACCCAAAGCAACAAAAGAATCAATTACGTATTTACCTAACGACCTCAATAATTTACACAAGGTACGCGTACCCAGATACGTGCTACGTCCAAACTTAAACAACATTGAATTACATGGGTTTTGCGATGCGTCTATTAGAGCATATGGTTGCTGCATATACGTTCGCGTAGTCGATTAATATGAAAATATTTTCATTAATCTGTTGACAGCTAAAAGTATAGTAGCTCCAACAAAAAAGAGGACTATACCTCAATTGAAATTGTGTAGCGCACACTTACTAGCTAAGCTTTTTGAGAAAATTATGTCAGAGTTTGCAAACTATAACGTCAAATCATTTCTTTGGACAGATTCTTCAGTAGTTTTACATTGGTTAATGATGCATTCATCTACTCTTACCATATTCGTCGGAAATCGAATTTCGGAAATTTAACAAGTGACCAGAAACTGCATATGGAGACATGTGCCAACATCGTGCAATCCTGCAGACATTATATCACGTGGATGCTCTGTAGACAATCTTGCAATCTCAATTTGGTTCTCAGGTCCAGAATTCTCACACTGGCCTGCAATGCAATTGTTTAAACGCAACAATGCTGAAGTAAATGACGCTATTCGGAAGACGGCACTACATTGCAATCAAATAGATAATGCTGTACTGTTATTCACTGAGCGAACGAGTTGCTATAAAAAAGTCTTAAATGTCGTTAGTTGGCTAGCGGCTGAACGAATGCGTGCCCTTCATTGCATCATTTACAATATACAACAACATTTCGCGATCGAATTCAAAGCTATTGATAAAAACTTTGACATTAAATCTTCTTTGAAAACTCTTGGTTTATTCATACAAACTGTCGGGTCGTTTCGGTTAATCCACGTTGGTGGACGCCTAAAACATGCAGATATACCGGAAGACCGCAAGCATCCCTTTCTATTGCCAAAGGATTGCCAATTCGTCAATACTCTAGTTCGTCATCTTCATATGCAAAATTTTCACGCAGGCCCGAAGGCATTGCTTGCCATTATGCGGCAAAATTTCTGGACTATCGGCGCACGTCACATTGCACGAAAAATCGTCAAAACATGTCGCCCCAAACTTTTATCTCAAGTAATGGGAAATCTTCCAAGAGAGCGAATAACCCCAGCTAGACCATTCGAACGGTGTGGGGTGGATTTCTGTGGACGAATCAATACGCACTTTAGAATTCGTGGCAAACGTCCTTATAAAACATACATCGCTATCTTCATATGTTGTAACGACACTTTGGGTGACGTTCAAAAATTTTTAGTTTTTGCTGGGGTATCCTCAGCCGTCGTCCAGAGTCGAGACAATAAATTTATATTTTCGCTGAGACGTGGTTTTAGAAGAAAAGAACGTTGATTATATATATAAATTATATATTTTTATTTATTTCATAAAAGAAACTATTATTAACAAAGTATAATTAAATAATTGCTAAATAAGCTATTCAGCATATAATAAGTTATAATTCACTTAAAGTATTCCTTTTGCTTAAGAATTTTAAAAAAAAATATGTGGATGGAAAAATATGTGGATTGTTCATTTGTTGTTGTGTTCAAAATTCCTTTACAAGTTTTCCATTCATAAAAAAAATTCATTTTTTTCCGTATATTTTAGGTTCTGCACATTGCATGTATCGATGCCCGCGGCACGTTGGAACCGAGAATCGCAGGTAATGTCCATGTGATTTATAAATAAACATTTTAATTCAATTTCATATTTTTTAGCTAAATCCATTTAAATTTTCTTCACGTGAGTGATTTTTATCTATATTATATGTAGAGGTAGTAATTAGTTGACACACAGATTTTCTTTTTCGCTTGTTCTTGCGATATGTACCACAGAAATTTACTGTGTGAATTTGTGTCGTTACAATGTGTTATGGTAGCCTATAGGTATGTTAGGAAAGAAAAAATATTTAAAGAAAGAAAATTTTTTTTTTAAACTAAACTAAATAAACTATATTATACGTAATAAATGTATTGACACAAGGGCATACCAAACACAGCAAATACTCACCACAATTCGAGTTAAGCAAAGAGAAAGGGGATGGTGAGTTTATATAGAAGAGAGTTGAGTATAGACCGTAAGAGAAAGGAGAAGCATTGTAACGAACAGCAAATATGAAAATGTAACGTAAATGTATAAATCCCCTACATCATAAATAATATAATGCAGAAACTTTACACAAATACCCAATATGCAAAACATTCCGTAATAACACATTAGGCCCATAGGAGCATATATAATGATACTGACCTCCATATGCAAATAATATAACGATATCTACACATGGAAAGAGCATCCTCATATCTGCTCACGACATTGCATAGCTGCATCCTCATATACACATCAATCCTAAACATTACTGATGGAATAAATATATATATAAAACTATAACAAACTGCTACAAATTACAAAGCACATCATATAAACATCATAAAATTGCATATCAATAAAACACTAATTGAGTATAAATATGTAACGTAAATGTATAAATCCCTACATCATAAATAATATAATGCATATAAAATCTATGTCCATGTCCACTACAAAACCGTCCAAAACAGTCTACAATAGATCATCTAAGTGTTGATGCAACCAACAAAGTCAACTATTGTTATGGTTTCCATTGACGCGTTTCATCCGGTCACCAACCGGACTCATCAGAATGGATAAAACTTAATATGTCGTGTGTTATTGTTTTTTTAAAAATGCTATATTTGAATTATTAATAAATAATAAAATTAATAAATATTAAATAATAAACAACTATATGAAATCCTTAAATTTAAATAAATTAATGTTAGGCAATGCACATGATAATAAATTATTTAAATTAAAACAAATATGCAATGCCTTACCTAAATAATACTACGTGAACAATTGTCACATATTACACATCTTAAACCACTTATAGTTGGTGTCAGAAATAATTGTATTAAATCTATTAAAATCCATTAATATCAAATGTATGCTTGTAATAAATTCTATCAAATAATTGTAAATTATAAATTACATCTTATCTTAGTATGCGGCTCCTTAACCTCCATTTCATAATATTGCGGTTATTGAAATCCTCACATTAATCAATACATATATTTTATTACACTCAACACATGAATTTCTTTACATATGCACCAAATATTATTGCACATTCTTCAAATATTAAGGAATAACAAATGACTAGTTTTCTCCACCTGCAATACTATACCAAAAATGGAATCATAAACCATAACACAAACAAAATGGAATGGAGACTACGAACATTTCCCGTAATCATTCTATCCTCACATACTTCACAATTGTCAAAAAATAGTCTGACTAATTATTCCTATTAGTACAACCCAATATTGTATATTAATGTAAATTGCACATTTAATATAAAGGAATCCATTATGATCTTAAATATTAGACCAATTTTTAATATTAAACTCATATTTAATGTTAAACATTAATAATTACACAACCCGAACAATGTAAATTCCTAAATTTTAATATAAATTAAAATTAGAGTCATCTTGTGATATTTGCTTCATTCTTTACATTTATTTATTGTTCCTTCCTTTTTCTTTTTCAAACCTATTATCCAAACATATTATTGACATCAACCTTGAATTTTACTTTTGTAAATTGACTAAACTAATAGTACGTTTCCACTATGTACTTAGTAAGTCATATAGTATCATAGAGCTTTTTGCGTTTACATTATTATGAGTTACTTAAGGAATAGAAATACTTAAGGAATAGCTTTTATGTGTCAAAAAGTTTTTAGTTTCAGAGCTTTTCTGTGTTTACATTTTAATTGTAAACAGCTGACATCAATTTTGTATTGTTAAAAGTATATAAATCAACATGGAAGAGAACGCAGAAAATTTCAATAATTTAATATATAATATGTGTAATGTTGTGCATAATATAAAAGCGGCTGTTGCTGCATATATAAAAGAACAGACAAAAATTTATAAAAAAATACAAATGATCCAAAAACAACAATTAACGTTGCTTTCGTCAATGATAACAAGAAAAAAAAGGAAGTGCTGGACTTTGGTAAGTACGGGCAGTAAATTATTAAATAAAGAATAAAATTTAAATGAGTTGCTATTTTAGAAAAGAACGAAGAAGTTTTGGGAAGAAGATTGCCAAAAAAATGGTCCTGAGTTCTTTGAAGAAAATTTTCGTATGAGCATAGAATCTTTCAATGAGCTTTGCAATCGTTTGAAAAATTTGGAGAAGCAAGACACCAGCTTTAGATGTGCAATTTGTTTATTTGTTTATTTTGCCATTTTAAAAATTTTATAGAATACTTATATCGGAAAATATATTACTATACTTAAATGTACATAAAAGTAATCGATTTTAATATGATTAAAATAACTTATAAAGATTTTATAATTACAAATTAAAAAATTAAAACTTATAACTAAGAAATTATTGTTCACTATTTCCTAAATAAAACCTTTGTCACATAGCCTCACTTAGCACGGTTAGAAGCTGATTCAAATCTCGCACTATAACGTAATATGGAAAAGAAAATCGTCCATACACGATATAGTATTGACACTTTTATCTGTTAGTATTTCCATAGTTTGGACATCTAATATAGAATGCTGGTAAAAGAACATTTTATTTATTTTATGTAACAGAATTTAAAAAATTTCTCCGATATCACCTTGTATTCTCGATTATATATTATTATATAGACTACAAATATTCTTTGTAATCGTGCCAGTTTTGTGCTGGTTAGTGAGTCTTAGCCAGATTTTATCTTTACAGTTTGAGTTGTATACATTTAGTTAGCTCTAAAATCTCTCTCACTAAATCTCTGGTATTTTGTGCTATTCGATTTGATATTATTTGCCATGTTTCCTAATCTCCGTATTGTAGTATTGCCTACAAAAACAAATATTTTGTATGTATAAAAAAAAAATATTTAAAAAAATTCTTACCTCTTGTTTGTTTTGATTTTTTGATTGTTTGTTTATGTTTACATTTTGCTTCATATGTCAAATATGTCAAATTTCGATAATTTCCAATGTTGCATTCGTCATATTTGGTATAATTTTGGTCGAATTTTGCTTACTATATTCTATAGTAAATGAGAAAGCACGGAAGCTCTTTGTATGGCAAATGCAATTTACTCAGTAAATGAAGCCTACTAAGTAAGGCTAAGTACATAGTGGAAACGTACTATAAACCATATTTTACATATCGTCAACAAACCAAATACTTTAATTTGCAATTAATTAAGGTATAAACATGCTTTATCCATTTAAATAATTATATAAATACAATTAAATCAAACTCCATATCCAAACATTTATTCATCTTGAAATTAAATTATAGCATTATTAATAGACACTAAAAACTATTACGTTTTAGACATTCCTACCAACTTTAGTACATGTACTAAATTACAATAAATTGGCATACTCCGCCAAAATTGTTATTATAAAAAAGCTTTTGATCTGTAAAGACGTGGTGCATATTGAATTTTATTTTTATCAAACATACTTAAGCGAGAAACTATTGAAGCTATATGTGAAATGTTAAACACAATAAATTTCAGCAAACAAAACCATATGTGACATCAAATATTCCTATGTGAGAAACTATTGAAGTTATAAGTGAAAATACCAAACACAACAAATACTAATAAAGAAATTGTGCGTGATGCAGTTCTTGCATATATATTCAAATTCACTACAATCCTAAAACCATAAATCTTAAATCAAATTAAGTTCCCAAATTAAATGTTGATTTAAAAATTAAATTAAATTAACTATTATTCCTCAAAATTACAGATTTCTTCTAAAACTATATTGTGGCCTCAACATATGTTTCCCCATCAATTATACATCTTAGACAACAACAAAACCTATCAAAGTGACCAATATATGCAATTTGCACCGGCACAAATTATAAAATATTATATGGGTTATTAATAATATTCTTCAATTATCTATTAAGTGATACAAAGTGTGAAATAGTGTTATATACAGAATTATTTGAAATTTTCTATAAACTATATAAATTTATAAATAGGAAATTCTTTGTTTACCAAACAAGCATCATATAATTCATGTGTGTCATACCGCTTTGCAACTATTATAATTTATTCTTTACGAACATCAATGTCAAACCAAATCATGTACGTATACGTAAATAGTACAAGTACACTTATTTTAACTGAGATCTCTCAACAAAATGTGCAATTAATAATATTTACTTTTTTACCAATTAATAATTAAACCAAGTCATTAAATCCTTAAAATTCAATTCTTTCAAAGCTAAATATAAACTTAAGTACTGTTTTTTTAATGTTATTTAAACTGAAGTCTTAACAAATTTTATTTTTATTTTTTATTTTTTATTTTTTACTCAGGTCTCTTATGGATGTAGCTACAGATAATTTAACTCATATCTCTTTAACATAAGTTACCCTTAAGAATGAAAATTCAAAGTTAAATTAAATTATAAATATACATTATACATTAATGTTGTCCATGAAGCCAATGTATTTAACAAATCTAACATAGGTCTCTTATGGATGATTCAACTGATGATTTAACCTTTGCTTCTTTAAGGCATGATATAGAATCTAATTTCAGTATGCAGAGTATGGGACCTAATTCTAAACCTGAAATCATGACGGAGAATCCTTGATCAACTATAATTTGTAAATATAACAAGTTTACATATTTATTATACATTTACAATAATTTCTTTTTAACCTTTCCAAATTCACCAACCACTACTCAGGATCCAAGTTTATGTTCAATGATTAATCTTGCCAAAACTACAAAATCAAATTCCCAAGTACTAATGGTTCCCAGCCCAGTCCAAGAACAAATGGAAACCAGAAACAAAGCTGAATTAATTAGTGAAAATTGCGGTGCAAACATAAGTCAAAATCAAATTAGTGATCGAATAACAGGGCCAATGTGTTATGCTACAAATATACCAAACTTACAACTGGATGTAAATCAAACCCGTCAACATCATGATTCACTTGCTATCGACCAAATAATTAATATATCGAATATCGAAAGTAAGTGTGATTAATTAAACATATTGTTCATTATTAATAATTAATAATTTAGCTACCCCAACCGCATTAGGTCCAAATGTGGATTCAGTACCAATTATTGTACATATGGATGAAGAACATACATCTCCAATAATACAGGCTGTAGATAATACTAATCAGAATTTAAGCAATGAGCATGTGGTTATAGATTTGACATAGACAATGAACAACGTTATGACTTCCAACCCTCCAATGAACACCAATAAAACCCGAGGTATATATATATATTAGTTCAAATTGTAATTTATTGTAATAATTTAATGGTTAAGGATCGATTTTATCTATTGTAATGGTTAAGGATCGATTTTATCTATTATATGTTCAACCAATAAAACACTACAAATTAAATATCCCCATAACTTTATATATAAGTCATATCCAACTTTAATTGATTGAATATATTATTCTCCTTAACTTAGATCTTTTAACACCAAATCAAGCCAAATCACCAGCTATCTCCAAACCTACTTCTGAAACTATATTGTCTACCTCAACTGCTCTAATTGAAACCCCGGACATGCAATTGAGTACATATAATGTTAATTTAAATGAAACAAATCCATGTAACTTTTATGGCGGTCGGTTACCTCAAAATGTACTTTTTTCAACATTGTATCGAAAAATGATACCTGGTGGGTTTTATAACCTAAGTGGTCGCCAGTTACCAAAGGAAGTGCAAATATTGTTGTGCTTCGGCCCAAAGTATAGCCCTATCAAAACACCTACTATAGAGGACTATTACGTAGCATTGGATAGCTATAATGAAATATATCAGAATCAATTTATAAATTTAAACTACCAAAGTCCGTTAGAGATGCAGCTGCATTATACTCAATTTTTAAAAGCCATGGAAGATTATCAAGAACCTCAGCAAACTCAACAAATATTATTTCAGTTGTATAAGTATACTTCCGAATATTTACAATCACAAAAAGATTTGATAATAATACAAGCAGATAAAGGCCAGTCTACATGCATGATGAAAAAATCTGAATATATACAGAAGATGTATATGTGGATAAACCATAACCTAGAGATAGGATCCAACATTTTGTATACAGAAAACCAACGAGCCTTGTTTAATTGCTTAGCTGCAAAATATCAAAGAATAGTTAAGCCACTTATTAGATTGCATCGACAGGAACCGTCTTCATTTCCAAAGTCTATACTAATAAGCTTGCAACAAATGTTAACAATATCCAGTCCTACCTTACCATATCTATATGGCACCGTGAAATTACACAAAAAGGAGCAACCTATGAGGCCCATTTGCAGTCCGCTAGGTTGGTACATCCATCCACTCCATCAGTTAATACATCATGTGTTAAAAAAGACCTTGTCAAACCGCATGTCCGCACACAATCTGACCAATATGAGCTGTTTAACAGGGCATATCTTACAGCTTCAGCCTTTACCAGGTTATGTATTCGTGTCCATGGACATAAGAGACATGTATCCAAGAACCAATATAACATCCCTATGGCGCACCTTGAAAAATCTTATGTGCTTGTCTTGGTTTCTTGAATCATGTCCCATACCCATATCAATGCTTAATATGGCATTAGAGTATATATTAAATACTGGGAACTATTTTACCTTTGAAGATAAGTGCTATATTCAGGCAGAAGGGTTACCACAGGGAAGTGCAGCCTCTGGAATCCTAGCAACAATTCATCTCGACTCCCAAATAGAGATCCACACTCCAGCTTTATTTCATAAGCACAAAGTGCATTCTTGGTGGAAGTACGTCGATGACGTCTTATTATATATGTCACGACACGATATACCTTCTTTTATGGAGGTCAGTATCATTATATATGCTCCTATGGGCCTAATGTGTTATTACGGAATGTTTTGCATATTGGGTATTTGTGTAAAGTTTCTGCATTATATTATTTATGATGTAGGGGATTTATACATTTACGTTACATTTTCATTATTGGCAGTTAACGTTGCAAGCTGCTGCAACCTAGTTAGCACCATCATGTGATGGCTACATATATATAAATGTAAGTTTTGTACGGGATTCCTTCTCAATCCAACAGGTGATATGAATTTTTGTTGATGTCCGCGGTTGTTGCTGAGCGTGAGAAGAACCACCCCCAAAACCGGCGAGCATACCGGGCTGGCCACCATGTTACCGCTTCACGTTCACTTCAAGGTTACTTCGCCCACCGAA